TCCTTGATCACTTGTCCCTTAAAACCTATTTCTTTCTCCTTTTGGCATGTAGACATAGCAGATCTGATTTATTTGCCTTTGATGTTTCATGTATCCTTTATCATCCTACCTATCTTCTTCTTTCTCCCCAGGACTGTGGCAGCTCAAGAAGGTTGTTCCTCTTTTTCTTCTATTTACCTATCTTCTATCTCACATCTTTACCCTCATCCAGACCCTGATAGACTGCTGTGTCCCAGCCATTCAGGGCCCTATGGTGTTCTATTGCACATACAGCTACCCTCCAGGGCACATGCAACCATCTTTTCATTCCCTGGCAACCTTCCTCCCTTTGTGATCTTTTCCCTTCTACCCTTACTAATTGGATCTACCCTCTGGTCTGTTTTGCCTACTCCTCTTTACCTTCTTTCTCCCATATGTTCTCCCATCAAATTCGTCATTTCCAAGCTGGGATGTGGACCACGCCCAGTTTGTTTGTCTCTCATTATTTTTATCGCATCGTGTTTTCCTCCACATCAGGGTTTTGTCTTCCACCTGTGGCCATGCTCCAGGCTTCAGAGTGACTTTAACTGGTAAATTTTATTCCATTTCCTTATTTCAGGGGCCTTTCTTTATTCCTGCTCTGTGGCAAGTGGTGCCTGACCAAGTAATCTGCACTGTAAGCCATGTTGCCTCACGGTTTCTCATCCATGACTTTGCATGGTCACCATAGAGATGGTGTGTTCCACAAGATCGCTGGAAGGTTATCTACCTTGCATTAGTTGCTTCATAAATATTTCCGTTTCGGACTGAACCACCCATGGACAGCATGGGTAAAGCAGAAGGATATAGCTGCCCATCCCTGCCATGCCTTGAGTGAATAACTTGGTATTGTCTGCTTTTCAAAATAGGGTATCGTGGTCACCCATTCCACAGTCTCTAGTAGTGACATTCCTCCGGACTCTCCAATGCATTCTCACCACTTTTTTCGAGTGGAGAATGGGAGTCCTTGCCACTTTCCAGTTCTAAGCAACTGGGGTGATTGACCGTGGCGGAACCCTCCTGAATGGGTTCCACTAACAAATTAGTGGCCCCCACAGGAGTTGATCTGTCACCTTGTTGGTGGAGATGGCCTCCTGATACTATTTAAACTATCACAGGAGTTGATCCATCACCTTCCTGGATAATGTGGCATTCTTATACTATTTACATATTCAACAATATCCACAACCCCTGGAGTTGATCCACCACTGTACAAGCTGACATGACCTCCTTATACTATTTACACTACTGTACATCCATCACCAAACTGGTTGATGTGGCCTCCTACTATTCAATTACACATACAGTTGAGTTGATCGGTCACCTTAATGGTTGATGTAACTTTCTGTTACACATTTCATACCACATGGAGTAGATCTGTTGCACATGCAGTTCACCCCTTTTGATTGGGAGCCCTCATCCTACCTTCACGTGGATGTCAGTTCCCAGTGTTGATATGTTGGATTCGAGTGAACCAATAAATGTAATTCCTCACACAAGTTGAATCCAACCATCTTGATGCTGGATGGCCAGTCTTGGATTGCTGTAGGGTATTGATTCTTGTGTAGTACCCAGGAATTGGAGCAGATCTTAATATTTAATTCTTGGGTTCTAGGTGAAGACTGTATGATCCTCATCCTACCCTTGCATGGATGTTGGTAACCTGTAGAGGAGGTTTTGAGTATGGTCTGATGCACCCTATCCACTCTACACCTCACAGTTTATGCCCATTTGTTTTACAAATTATACACAAGGGCAAAGAATATACCTGGCTCAGAAGTGTGTGGTTCCCCTACTCTAATCTCTAGATCTCCTTCTCTCATGGTCAAGAGTATCCTTCAGATGCTTTTTGGGGTGCTTCTGCTATTTCCTCACACCAGTCCTTCCTTCTTCTCAGTGTGGGATTCTAGCTAATCTTGTGAAAGGAGGTAAGTACTGTATTGGAAATTATAATTTTCTTACACTGAAAATGTATTTCTGATAGATACTTACCTCCGCTCATACTTCCCACCTTTCCTCCCCAAGTATATCAAGATTTTCCCTTGACCTGAGTCAGTTGAGATGTCAGAAGTCATTAGTAAGAATAATGCTTATGTAATTCTTCCTTTAATATCAAGTAGTAATGGTTCAATGTCATATGAAGACATCATTTCCATTGTCTCTCTTCAAGAGTGTGGTGACAGTGAATCTGACATCAAAAATAATCCATCAGTTGATCCATTCAGTTTGAATAAAGCATAACTTAATCTTTAAAATGTCATCATATGATTCAAACAAAACATTGATTTATGTGAAGATGATGACGTAGTATGATATTTACTTGAACCTGCAAAAGCTTCAAAATGAAAACAATTCAGTTCAGAAGCAGTCTGTGATTACATCCTTTTGTATGTAATAGGTTTCAACAGAATTATGTTTTTGTAAAGATAATTGAATAGTTCTTTGTTTATGTAATTTGTATTTTTATTTATAACATATGAGATAATAAACTGATAAGTTTATTATATATACACTTGCTTTTATTACATACCTACCTTTACTACTTTTAACCCTTCACATTTATTGATTAATAATGCATGCTATTAACCCTATCACCTCGGGCACCCTTTACTGCGCATGACACAAGGTTTTTGTCTTACATTCAAAATTTTATTAAACTATATTTTGTTCATATTATACCGATATGAATAGCATAAAATCTTAGCTAATAATCCATATTTTAATAGTATACAAGTTTTAAGTTCTTAATTCTACAAGGCAATATTTTAAAAAATCCTGAATTTCCCCTAGTGTGACACACATGACAAATTTTATCTTAGCATGTCATCATCCCTATTTTATCCACCACCCTTCAAAAAAATACAAAATTAAACGTAAAATACTCAATAAAGTCATTATTGCTCAAACGAACTACAATTTTTATAGTCTTCAATTTTGTTTGGTTACAGAGCTATCAAATAGAACATCATACCCCTCCTGCCAGACTCACCTGTCACATCCTCTCTTTCACAGTTCATTGATAGTTCTCTCTTATGTTTCATTATATGTTACCTATAACCAATAGAAAGTCAAGGTTTTCAACTATCAAATGACATGTTGTATTCTGAACAGAATATCATACATTTCGCTCACAATACGAGATTCGTTCCTGTGAGAAAGTTAACAACTAGCTTGGATGAATTTGTAATGACTCTTGTCACATAGTTATAAAGCCAGGAATATTTTAAGAGGTAAGTGAATTTGTCTTCATTTTTCATATTATTAGTCTAAATTCTTTGATGCAATATTTAATTAAATAAAAATTATTAAGTGCATTACTATAATTACTGTAAAAAATCAGGTTTAACTGTCTTGGACAGTTGAGGCCAAGAAAAAAGAAGATACTTTATTTCTTGTTTTTCATATTTATTCTTTATTTATTATTATAAAGTAACTAAAATCTAAAAATATGAATCTTTTTAAGTTATTTAACACTAGATTAGGTAAAATAAGTAATAATAATAATATAATTAAAATGGTTCACGAGTCATGCACATGAGCAGCTAATGGGTAATGTAATTCGATAACATAACGTGAGCTGCATGTTCCCCGAGTGATTTACAATTTATAACAGTGCAGATAATAGTTAGACATGGTTCAAAGGGCAATAAAACAATAAAATTATATTATAAATAGATGTATACTGTTATGAACTTAGAGCTACTTAGGATAAACGGATGTAGTTTCATGTAACAATTTATCATTCTGGAAAGAAAAAAGAGTAATTTAGGTTTATTTCGATTTGAGAAAATAACAGATGAAATATACAGTTTTACTGGAAAAAAAACGTTTGAAATGTATTTAGGATGTTTTATGGAATACACCAAAGAATTTGAGATTTTGGAGATGAGGAAAAGTATTTTTAGTTTTAACATCAAAATTACTTTTCACATCGACTATTCAAAACAAATACTCAATATATGAATGGACAAATCTTTATTTTATTTTATTAAAGAATACTTCACTAAAAATATGATTTTTTTATATGTGAATGATTTGTAATGTTCACTGAAAGTCTGCCAAATTTTGTGAAGATATACATACCATATTGAAAGTTCAAAGTATTAAATCTATAAAGATTTTAATCGAGTACAAAGAGGTCAGGTGGTCGGTCAAATTGACCGAGCCCGTGTTGAGAGAGTTAATAGTGTCCACTGTATCCTAAATGACTATCCAGATGCCTCAATAAGCTGGACAATTTAGTACATTACAGATGTGTTCAGGTTAATAAGGTTTCTTACATATTGTATTTTCATACTTCTTTAAAATGAACTTGTTACTGTTGATAAACTAGTAAGCAGTTCTCATTTACAGTTATTGTTTATTCGTTTTCTGCATTATATCAGGCTGTAAATTTTTTAATGTTTTAACATTTTTACTTCCAAATATTTAAGAGTCAGCAAAAAAGTAATACCACCAGTAAAAGTTGGACAAGCATGAAATGGGGTGGTATATTAACCATAGTAGGAGTGACAAGTTAGCACAAATTTAAGTCATCAGTTTGACTAAAATTATTTTAACTAGATTAATAATTTTTTCTTGTTTGTAATTAATTTGTAAAGTAAAGATACAACAAATTAATTAAAGAATTTCTTTTGCTAATACATATTTAGAGCTTGAAATTAGAATTTTACTGGCTTATTATTATTTATCTATCTGATGCTTTTCTGTTAGTATTTGTTAGTCAAAGACTGTTACTGAAAAATGTAAGTCTGATATAATATGGTAATGATATTAATATACCAGTTTTTATTACAATAATTTCCTTATTTTATTCTTTAGTATTTTTCTATATTTTTTCTTATATTCCTGTAATAATTCTTTTGTGAAGGTTGGAAATTCTAGATTTGCTGTATATATAATCTCTGTACATTTAAGAAACACTATACTTGGAAAGTGTATATTATTAGAAAAATCATTTACTTTTAGTTATTCTTTTTTAGTGTGAGATCTGTGCCAGTTTTATTACAAAGGATAAAGATCCAGTACATGTGCCTTGTCTTCATAATTTTTGTCAGTCTTGCTGGAAAGGGTATGTAGTTAATTAGTGTAATTATGTTGTTTTTGTACATAATATTGAATCTCTTAAGTTCAGGATAAATTAACAATAATCATTCTTTATATTAAAATTACATTATTATGTGCTTCAGAAATTGTAATAGGTTGGTAGTTGTTGCATATTTTCTATTCAACTTAGAATCATTTTAAAAAGATTGTGTTTCAAACTTTTTACTTGCCCATAGATTTAGTGATAATATTGTTATACCAAACACTTCACGTTGAATCTTAATTTTTATGCATTTTTCCCTGAAATTTATTGGTGAAGACAGAACTACACTGGGTCATGAAGTTTAATGTATATGTTATAAAAGATTTTATGAAAGTTTAAAAGTATACAACTTAAATATTTTGAAGGACATGCATCACATCATGCTCTATTACAAAAACAAATATGTACTTGAACCATAATATATCTGAGCAGACAGCTTTTATGCTGAAATTTAGTTTGTATGTGTTCAACAAAGATTGTCCCAAAAAATTGAAAATAAAATGTCTTTCAGCTGAATTTTTATTTAAGAAAATGAATGAAATATTTAAATTGTTATATATTCTAGTAACATAATTTATTCACTTAATAAGATTCAATTCTATGAATAATTTGTTGCTAGTTATAACCCATTCTAGTAGTTACAAACTGAAACTGACTGAGCCAACTTGAGTGAAAGAGCCACATTTAGTAAATAGAAATACCTAACCTTCGCATTTTTCTACTTGTGTTGTATTTTAGTTTCTTATCATTCTGGGTTCACACTACCTCCTATGGTTGATTAAGTTTTTACTTCAAAGTATATTTCTCTCTTTCAAAGATGATGTCCTCCTAGTTTTATAAATGTCATTCACTATCATAAATATCTCCTTTGGGACTGGGCTTTGCTTCAGTGGATAATTTTGCCATGCTACATATGTGTATGTGATTACTCATCTGTCTTTATTAAGCACAGATGGCCTTGGAAGTATGCTTGCTTAGTTCAGCAAAATATCTGTTCCTCTAGTTTCTGTTTCCTACAGTTATTGTAATAATAAAACAAGTCTTGCATGAGCTTATTAGGGAAGTTCATAAGTTCCTCTCTTCCTTTCATATTATTTGATAAATTCTGAGAGTATCTCATCTTCTCACATTTCTAAGGTGGCCTTTATTTACATGAATTGCACAACTGCATGACAAGGTCATATGCAACAAAAGCCCTCCACCAATAGGAGGGCAACACACCTTCATGTGCAATAAATACCCTATACACTCGTGATTCTCCATTCTTCTTCTCATCATTGTGTTGATTAAATGTGTTTTAATTTATTGCTTGAGTTCAGTTTTTGAGATTTGCATTGTTAACATAGCTTTGAATTCCAATACAGTACGTTACCTCTTCTCACTTAAATAGCTATTCTCACTGAGTGGAGCTCTCTATATGCAAAAAACATTATGCATACCACAAGCCTTCAATCTCCCCTCCATTGAAATTGAATGATTCCAATGCTTCACATCATGCATCATCCTTCTACCAATAAGAGTGTGACATACTCTCATGACACATGTAACTCCCTCTATTCAATTCTACCAAACTATCACTTCTTGTTTGGCAGTACTTTTACTTAGACATTTTTCTTTTGGTACTCTTTGTGTGAATCATGATTTTAGTAGTTTAATTTCCGAAGAGCGATTTCTTCATTCTATTTTTTTCTCTACATTGAACAAATCTTTTAATTTAACTTAATTTCCCAGTCTTTACTTTTTAATCTCACACTCGCATATTTTACATCAGACACTTTTGTTTGATTTACATATTTCTTCATTGCATTCTGAGGTTCATGTTCCCACTTTGGGTGTGTTATACCTCTAGCATTATTTTCACAGGGAAGACCTGTCATTGGATTTCTCTGCTATTATCCATCATGAGATTGATCGTCGTATGGATCAACCTTCTTCTCCTGAACTTGCTCCACTAGTCCTCCTGAACAAGCTGAATCTTTTTGGGCTGATGGAAATTTAATAGCATTTTTACACCACTTGATTTTGCCATGTTTTTCCCTACCCCTCCTGCAGAATCAGCTAGGCATATAATGGTATTTTTCGACTTGATTTCTCAGGTATGTTACATTTTATCCAATTCCCCATTTTTTTATGGTTCCTTATTACCTCCATGTTAGTTCATTTGTTGTCTTTGCCTCTTGCTTCACACATGGGGTTTCACTGCAGTTGGGATTTTCTGGGTCACAATGCAACCTTGTCCCGGGTATGTTTGCCACCTCTTTATTTTTGGGATTTCTTTATTTTTCCTTTGGTGATATTTTTTCAGTTATGTATCTGAGACTATGGAATCTTGTGTGTAATCTGTGCATCAACACTCGACCCTTTCCTCTTTGGTTGCACATGTGTCGCAGTTGGAGCCACGACATGCCCTATTCCTTTCCCATCCTGGTCCTTATCTACCCATCCCTATCCCCCTCCCAGAGGTTTCTCATTTCATCTTTTATTCAACTTTGATGGGCACGTTGCCAACAGTACCAGAAATTGACCAGAGGGTTCCAGTCCAGTAAGAGTTTGACTATATTATGTTGTTACCCTTTGATGATCTTTCACTACATTTCCATGGGTTCTTCAGGTTTTATCAGAAGAACCTGTCCCACTATTTCTTTTCTCACCTCCTTTGTCCCTGGTACCCTTTTCCTTCCCCATGACTTGGGATCCTACTACCAGCCTGCATCTGGTCGAGGGGGAACAAGATTTTTTGTCTTCAAGTTCTTATTCCAGGCTGTTTGTTGTCCTCGTGCCCAACCAGAGACTGGCGGCCTGTACTAGGTTTGCCCCACCTCATTCTAATTTACAATCTCCACCATTTTACCTTAGAGACAATTCTCACCCTTAGGTGGGTTTTTCTCCAGATTTATCGAGGACAAAGAGGAATTTCGCAAATGCTTATTTGCATATCCCAATATTTCGTCACTCACAACCCTCTCTTTGATTTATTCTTCATGGGGTGGTTTCTCTGTTTCGCACACTGCCCTTCAAACTTGCTTCAGCCCTGTATGTCTTGTCAGGCATTCAAAGCATTTGTTTGTCACTTATATACTCTCCAGTTGTGCTTTTTTCTTTCTTTAGGCTACTGTTCACTCATTCTGAACAAGAGTCCACCTCTTACCCTTACTAGCTGCTCCTGGAGGTGGCTATAAGGGGCTGTTAAGTTAGAGAAGTCCTTTCTCTGACCTATCCAATATTTTGTCCATTTGAGTGTTTTTTTTCTACACGTGCAACAGTAAGGGCCTTCCTTTTTTTCAACTTTGTTTGATGGGTTTTCAGTTTGATTACAGCTCATAAAGTTCTATTAGTTTTGGGGATGTGATCTTCCATGGTAGCCATTATCCCCTTAGATTAGGCTCATATGCATATTCTTTCGTGGGCTTTTCACCTCCATTGGAATTTTGAAGGTACCTTTGTCAGCTCTTATTATCCTTCCTCCTACCTTTGTCATTGATCGGCTTTGGTGGTTAGATATGACTCACACATCGGCGAGTGACCCACTTCCTCCTTCTCATCCAGTTTTCCACATTTCAGGGATGGGGGACATGGGTTGATCAACTGAAGATTTTGGGGTTTTGGTCTGCAGCTCAGAGGTATTATTCTATCAATGTCCTTGAGCTTCTTGCTGTAGGTCGTGTTTTGGTTCATTTTCTACATCTGGCCAGAAATTGTCTGATAATGATCCATTTCGACTTTTCTTCAGTGGTTGTTTATCTCAATCATCAGGTCAACACCCATTCTCCATCCCTCTGTATTCATACATTGGATCTTCTTTTTGGACCCACATGCTCAATATTCCTATCATTGCATGTCATGTTCCTGGTGCTTTCACTCTTGTCATGGATCGGATTCCTGTCCAGGCAACATTTATCTGATAGAGTGGTATCCTGATCCTTTTGTTTTCCAGTGGCTTTGACTTCAGTGGGGTACTCCTCACATTGAGGCTTGTGCTATGTCCCTTAATCACAAATTGCCTTGGTTTTAGTCTCTAGTTCCTCGTCTTCTTGCTCTGGCTATCGATGTTTTCAGCTAGGATTGGACCTACACATTTGTCTATCCTCCCATTCTTCTTCTCCAGGTGATTTAGTTGATCTTCAACACTCCATGTTCAGTCCTTCTTATAGCTCTTTCCTGACTATCTTAACTGTCACCTCTGTCTTGGATTTTTGGGTGGTCCTATCCTACAATTTTTGTTTTTCCCGATCCTGCTCCAACTTCTTCCTCCATTACCTTTTTCTCTGTCTCCATCCTTTCTTTGCCACCCTCAGTCACTGGTATTTCATCCAGACCTTCCTGTCCC